TCTTTAAAATAGTTATTTGGTCATTGATAGTATGTCTATTTTTACAACCCTATAATGGTCTTAGTGTAACTTCAGTATCCACACCGAAATTTTGGTCAAGCTTCAGTCTATTCAGAAACCTTATGAGGTTGGAGAATATTTGGTAATTGCACATAAAAATGACAGCCAAAAGAGTGGAAATTTCAACTTGAAACCAATAATTCTTGGTTCACATATTTCTAGTCCAGAGGTGTAAATTATGCCCTCAGTTTGTAATATATTTTTTACTTTTTTATCATGCAGCTATAGCAGCTATCGAGAAATTATCCCTTATCTTTCGAACTTCTACTCAATTATTCATTTTAAATAATTGTACAAACTGATGTACTAAGCTCTAATAAGCTTCGCTAGTCACGGTTCCGGACTTCTTTAGTCTAATTTCATCTTGTATCTATCAAGTTTGGGCGTATCCCGACCGTAGGTGCTACCTCGAAATGGTGGTCGCCCTTGCCTATCGAGATGACCCAATCGAGCTATATTGGCTGGAACATATGTTCCTGAAGGTCCAACCATTCCAGGCAGGTCGATCGGAGAACGATCAGACTAAAAACAGCTACTCAAGGTCAGAGGGCGAAGTCATACTGTTGATTGCAGAGAGGTGTGACATCAGTAAGGTGTTTCCCTCAGACAACCAGCATCTGCAGCAATACTACCTTCTCACAAGGAAGGATGGGTTAGAAAATGACGACCCTAAAAATGTCATCTTACCTCACGGACTCCCGTCTTCGGCGGTAAAGCCTCTTAAGAAGAACGGAGCCAATACTATAAAAACCTCTCATAAAAGGGCCATGCGTGACCGGCCTGACGCAGTTTTCCTTTGGGCTCTGCGGTTACGCTCCCAGGTCGTTAAGACCAACAATAATCTACCTTCCTTTTCAGGTTCCTCAAGAAACACCCTTCCACGGTGAGGGCGACCGGGAAGTGACATCCGCCCTCATACCCGAAACAGCACGTGAGACCGAATTGGCCAAAATCAAATCCTTCCTACATCCCCTAACACCGCTCTTATCTCCACGACTATTTCTTCTCACACTCCTTTACCACTCCGTACCGCTAATGCAGACGATGTGAGTTCACGAAACGTTAATCATGGTTTCCTGAAACCTTTGTGTAAATTACATGTTGGAGCATTTAATGTCCGGACATTGTGTCAAATAGCGCAACAGGCATCCTTAGCTAGGACTTGAGAATCTCGCGTGATCGATGTATGCTGCGTCTCGGAAACGTGCATACAGGATCGTAGTAAATTCGTTAATTTGATTTCACCTAATCAAAATAACGAAGCAACTCGATTTACTCTTCGTGTATCTGGAAGCCCTGATGCTACTTCTCGAGGTCTCGCTGGCGTAGGTGTAGCATTAAGTTGTAGGGCAGATTTAGCTCTCTGAGACTGAATCCCAGTAGATAGTCGCTTGTTCGCTGTCCGACGAAGTTAAGGATGAGTTTACAGAAAGCTCCTCCAAAAAGTTGGGCGCCATGATCGCGAACAGTAGTGGATAGCGAAAGCAAGAGAGATGGAAATGACAGTGGCAATAGTTAACAATAGACAACTATTCAGACTTATCAAGGAAACGGGAATTAGAAATCTGACATTTAGTAATACTATCACGGAAAAGGCAATTCGAAGCGACGAGGAGCAGTAGTACCTGATAGATTGACCCCTGATGATTTTAAGGATCGTGGTCCAGTTTTCACAGTTAGATTAATTGGGATCTTAGGTAGAATCTGAGAACTGGGCGTAATTCTATCTGAATGGTATCAGGTCCTGGAACATAGACACACATTTAGGCGTCCTACATTAGTGGTATTCCTTGATATAACCTTATCCTTGTCTGAATTTTCAAGAGTAGACATTTTACCAAGAAGCTCGCTAGTTGACTTAGAATATGCCGATGACATAGTCCTACTTGGTGAAGACGCTAACAAAATGCAGTCTTCTTACCACCCTAAAAAACAATGCAAGCATGTTCAGGGTGCGGTTTTCCCCCTCGAAATGCAAAATGTTGCTTCAAGATTGGGTTTCATCGGCACCTGAACTAGTGATAGGGAGTGAAATAGTCGAACGTGTAGACCGCTTCACTTACCTCATCAGTGCTGATGGCCTGGTGACTGACAAAATCTCAGCTCGGATACAGAAAGCTCGATTGGCATTTGCCAACCTTCGTCACTTATGGCTCAGGCGAGATATCCACTTGTTAACCAAAGGACGAGTGTACTACTCAGCAGTTCGCTCTGTCCTACATTCTGGATGCGAAACATGGCCATTAAGAGTAGGGGACATTCGTAAGTTACTTGTCTTCGATCATAGGTGTATCGTGAGACGACCGAGTAAGCAACGCTATCGTTAGTAAACGAGTTCTAAGTAAGGATGTCAAATCAATAGATGAAGCATTGAAACTCCATCAGTTGAGGTGGTTGGGACATGTGTTACGTATGCCTAACCACCGACTACCGCGATGAGCTATGTTTTGTGGTGTAGGAGTAGGTTGGAAGAAAGTTTGGGGCGGCCTAGTAAAAACATGGCAGAAATCCATTAAGTCATAGACAAGTGGATTGAGCCATGTTGGTAGTTGTAGGCTATCTGGTTAGGGTCCGCGAGACGAAAGTCACCAATGGTTAGAGACCTTGAACGACATGGCTCCGAATCGTTTGCAATGGCGCAGGTGCATCCACTCTTTGTGTTCTTTTTAATTCTAACCTTCTGAATTCCTCATAATCTCTATCTTTCTCCTTCTAAATTTATCTCTCTGAATTATACTTTTTGAATCATATCTTTGCTCCCTAATCTTGTCCATTGCTCCGAATAATTCTACTATCGTTATCATTCTTGGATTTGAACAGACAATTATGTCTCTGTGCTGACGTGGTATGGTGACCTGAACCGATGTACTTATGTACGAATTTTTGTGTTGTATCTGTCTGTCTGTCTGGTATTCCTCGACCTTGAGGCTGGATTTGACTGTTGATTGTGAGGTTATATGGCAGTGTCTGCCATTAAAAGGTGCTTCAGAGAAGTACATTAACCTTATAAAAGCTGTCTACTCGAACACTACAGGTTGAGTTAGAGCTCATGAAGAACTGCCATCGGAATTCTGTACTTCAATTGGTGTCCGTTAGAGATGTTCACTTTCTCCATTCTTGTTTAACTTTGTCATAGACTTGCTTCTAGATATAACAAACATTGTCTTTGTCTAGCTTTTCAGGAGTCTAACTTTTACCGAGAGATTCATTAAATGACCTAAAATATACCAATGATATAGTTCCATCTGGTGAGGACGCTGACAAATACGGTCTTCTGACTACCTTAAGCAACATTGCAAGCATGTGCGGGATGCAATTCTCCTCCTCGAAGTGCAAAATGTTGCTTCAGGACTGGCTTGCATCGGCACCTGAACTAGTGGTAGTGTGTGTATTAGTTGAGCGTGTTGACCGCTTCACTTATCTGGGGAGTCTCATCAGTGCTGATGGTCTGGTGACTTACGAGATCTCAGCACGGATTTCGCCAACCTTTGTCACTTATGGTGTAGACGAGATATCCGTTTGCTGACTAAAGGACGAGTCTGCTACTCAACAGTTTGCTCTGTTCTTCTTTATGGATGCTAAACATGACGAGTCAGAATAGAAGATATTCGTAGGTTTCTGGATTCCGATCACAGGCGTCTCCAAAGCATTGCTCGTGTATCGTGGGACAACCGAGTAAGCAATGCTGTTGTTAGGAATTGGGTTCTAGGTAAGGATGGCAGGTCAATAAATGAAGTAGTGAAACTTCATCAGTTGAGGTGGCTGGGACATGTGTTACGAATGCCCGATCACCGACTGCCTCGACGATCTATGCTATGTGGTGTAGGAATAGGTTGGGAGAAATCTAGGGGCGGCCAAACCAAAACAAGGCAGGAATCCATAAAGTCACTGACAAGTGTTGTTAGGTATGTTGGATTGTGGAGACTACCTGATTGGGGTCCGCGAGACGATAATAACCGGTTGTTAGAGACTGAATGACAAGGCTCAAGATTGTTTGCAATAACTGAAGTGTATCTGTTCCTGAATCATACTTTTTGAATGATTACTCTGAACCCTAGTCTTTTTAATTACCTCCAAAATGTCTACCTCCCGTTCTACAACAGGATTTGCATCAACAGTTGCATTTCTGTGCTAATGTGGTATGGCGACTTGAACTGATGTACGTACGTACGAGGTTTCACGTTGTAGCTGACTGACTGACTTTTGAAATGGTTATAAAAAATTTGCTTATTATGAAACATATTGGAGCTTCATCTGTACATTGGTACGGAAGTGTGTTTTGTCTACCGTATCATTTTTATTATAAAATATGAAGACTGTATTAAGAAACAAGATAGGCACATATACTTTTCACTAAGGTAGCACCATCATGTGAAATACATGTTGTCTAACGGTAATGTTATATGAATGCTATGCTCTCATATAATCAACAATACTACTTGATTCTTAGGGTTTATCACACGAAGTGTCCAAATTATACAAGTGACTGCCGTAACCGATAAGGTCAACAACTTTTCTACTTCTTTTCTCGCTATCTTTCCTAGAAATTTGGCTAGACTGCTGCATTCGTCTTTGCCTTTGTAACTTATTTCAGAGGTCAGTGTATATGGCAATTAACCACTCAATCAGTTGTTACGGTGTCGATATTAATCCTTCACCCTATTTATAGTATAATATATGCACCAAACTGAAAGCTCAAGCCTTCTTTTATGTCTCTAGGTTTTCGAAATATAGCAGAATGCTCAGACACTGAAGATACTTTGATAAATTGTCTACCGTGATACTAATTCGTTATTTATTGAATGTTTTGCAAGCATTCGAATGGCAAACATTTACAAAGCATTTTCTTATATGTTCGTTTTTTGCAGGCCACGAGCGTGCAATGAAATATCTATCTATTAGAAGAAAAACGTCCACTTCAAAACTTTTGTATTGCGCCGATGCGCCAAGATATTGAACTCTCCTCTCCTCAGCATCATGGTCATAAAGTTGATCGCCCTCATTACGAATTTTTGTTTGGTGCAGCGGCTTATTCTGTCAGTGTTGTAGTCCTTTTTCCCTTATACAAAACAATATTTTTTCAACAGCTTGATGGTATATCCTGGATCCAAGCCTTAATTCGCTATCGCATCGAAGGAATTCGTATGGCTTATAGAGGTGTTTTGCCACCCTTGCTCCAACGGGCTTCCTCAGGAGCACTTATGTTTGGTGTTCAAAGTTCAACAGAACGGTTTCTTGTAAATCATCCTGCAACTTTTAACTATCCACCTATTCTACAGAAAATTGTTTCTTCTGCACTTGCTGGGTGGTCTGAAGCTATTCTAATGCCTTTTGAACGTGTTCAAACGCTGCTACAAAACAAAGATTATCATGACCGATATAAAAACACTTTTCATGCACTAATAAAAGTAACTTCGAATCACGGTGTCAAGGAACTCTACCGAGGTTTATCGCCTGTTTTAGTGAGAAATAGCTTAGGCAACGGACTTTACTTTTGTGGTCACAAATGGCTGAGTGATGTTCGTGTTCGTCGCACTTGTGAAAGTACTATGGAACGTGGCCTGTGGAATTTTGCTCTTGGTGGTATTTTGGGGGGTACTATCGGTATGGTCACATTTCCTCTAAATGTTGTGAAAACTCGAATGCAGTCAAATGTTGGCGGATCCTTTAATAGTTTTCGCACAACTTTCTTATCACTTGTTTATGAGGACTCTGATAAACCAAATATTTTGAGACTATTTCGCGGTGTGCCAGCTAATTTTATACGTTCCATTTTTTCATGGGGCTTGATCACGATGACCTTTCATTTTTTTTTGGAAATAAATTTTTTGAAACGCTAATGATGAAATTTTCACTATGAACCAGCTATTAGAAAACGATATATAATTTTATATTTTCACACATCGTGTATACAAATCTCGCCTTCCTTGTTAGCTATTATGTACAGCGAAAATTGCTAAGACTAGCTTTTGTTTTAACTAAAATTATAACAGAAAATTTTTTATAACTGTCTTATTTATTATAAGACAGATTATATTGTTCTATTCATGATGGTTTCTGCGAGAATCGGTACTTTCAAATTTTGAAATCTTAACAAATTAGCGACAACTTACTTTTTTTTCATTCAGGTTTCCAGTAATGAAACTTGGTTTTGAAGACGTCTAGTTTTCTTATCTGCTTTATTGAGTAAATAACATGATTACATTAGATTTACTTTTAAATTCCAGTAAAATTGAAATTGCCTTTCAGACACAGGAAACACCAGAAGGAAGAAATGTTTTCCATCTTGAATCTGCATTGTATATTTTTTCGTAAGCACCAATGAATTTACAACATAACTTAATGTATCAACACTTAGTTATTATCAGCGTAAAGTCATGTATAAATATCCATTCGTCCAAGTTAATATATCATATCAGCACGACTTGAGGTAGTCGAAATAATATACTATCAGTAATAATAGGGAAAACTAGGCGTCGAGAGTACAGTTCCAAAAGACAGAATGAACGCATGTCTTCTACCTTCATAGGACATATTTCACAATTATAAATTAATATAGAGTACGCCGCCATACATTACACACGCCCTTTAGTCGGGAGATACATTTCGCCTAGGCCTTAAATGATGTAAGTTGGCAAAGATCAGAATGGCTTTCTGAATCCCTACCGAGATCTTATTTGACATTGACCCATTTCTACTGGACCGATTGGTCTTATTACTATACAACATATATTATTATATAAATATGATAAAATGTTAATTAGGAATTCGCAATGGTGCTATCCAAAGAATCCCGAAAGGTATCTATGGGTTGAGAAATGGATCTAGGATCATTGAAGACAAATAAGGAGGGGGAATCCTTCAGTGTTATGCGCCCACCAACGATAACAATAAATATGATAAAGATCAAATTGACGAGAAGTTACGGTCTATTGTTGAGATATACCAAGCAAAGTACCTGTTCATTCTGACGGAAAATCTGGACCATACGGTTGGAATGTACAACACCGGATATCAAGATATAAAGTAACGACATGGACTGAGAGAAAGGACTGAAAACGGTGGGAGATCCGTGAATCTATTTGCCTTCAACAAACTGGTCATAAGCGGCATCATATTCCCACATAAACGCACACACAAAGCTACTTAGGTTTCATCAGATCATACCACACAGAACAGAATCGACCATATCTGAGTCAATAGAAAGATTTAGTAGGAGCATGAAATGCGTAGGGACAAATGAAGGAGCTGACATAGCTTCAAACGATCATTGTTGGTGGCCAAAACTGAAACTCAACAAGCACTGGTAAAATGGACAAATAGCATTACAAAATTTCAATACGGCCGTTATCTAAGACAATGGCTACGCAGGTCAATTGGAGAACAGTAAGACCAAAAGTAGCAGTTTAAGGTCTGAAGGCGAAGTCGTGTTGCTGACCGTAGAGAGGTGTGACAGCAGTGGACCAACACTAATCCAACTTCTTTTTCATATCCATCAAGAAACACCCTTCCCCGGTGTAGGCAACCGGGAAGTGATACCCGCCCTCATACCCGTAAAAGCACACGGAACCAAATTGGTCACAATCAAATCCTTTCTACACCTATTAACAACTCTGTTATCTCCATGACCAACCCTTCTCACATTCTTTTATCACCTCGCACCGCTAATACGAACGACTCGAGTATACGAAGCGTTATTCCTGGTTTCCTGAAACACCTTTCGAAACTACATATCGAGACTTTTATTGTTCGAACCTTATGTCAAATAGGACAACTGGCTTTCTTAGCTAGGACTCTGGAATCCCGTGCCGTCAATGTATGCTGCGTCTTGGAAACGCGTATACAGTATTCGAGAAAAATCATTAACTTGATTTCACATTATCTAGATAGAGAATTAACTGGGTATAGGCTCCGTGTATCTGGAAGCTCTGATGCTGCTTTCCACGGACTGGCTCATGTAGGTATACTGCTAAGTTCGTAGGCAGAACTAGTTATCCTACATTGATCTCAATAAATAGTCGCTTACGCACTATCCGCCTCCTCTAAAATGTCAGGCGCTCTGATATATTAATAATGGACGGTGACTTCAATGCTCAGGTAGGTAGACTAAGTGAGAAGGAAAGACAGTTGGGAGGATCTTATCGTGTCGTGGCTCAGAGAACAGATGATGGAGACTGTCTGTCGCCATCAGCCACCGATGGAGGGTTTCGATAGACGACTGTTCGTCGTTCTGGGGCACATGTCTAGATTCAAATCATATCCTAGTGCGAGCGCGTATTTGTTTGAGGCTTACTGGACGTGGGAAAAACATCGTTATAAAACCCCTTAAAGCTGTACTTAATGAGGATAAAGCTAAGAATATATTTCAGGAACAACTGGAAAAACAGTTAGGCGATCATGTAGTAAGTGATGCCCACCCTGAGTCAGTTTACCATGATGTCAAAAAAGCTGTGAGAACAGCAGTGATATCTGCTAGTAAGGTAAACCATAAGGTTAGGGAGAAGCCGTGGATTTCAGTCGCATCTACGTAACCGATGGATACTCGAAAGATCATCCCGCCCGGCACTGAGTGCGATGAGTAGCGGAGTCAACTTAGGCGCAGGCTGATAAAAAGGCTACACAACGATCGTGAAAAGTGGTGGGTAGCGAAAGCAAGAGGGAAGGAAAATGAAACGGTGATAGGCAACAGAGGCAACTATTTAGGCTCATCAAGTAGACCGGTATTAGGAACCCGAATGTGAGTGAGACAATCTCGGAATAGAATGGTCTTATTATTCACTCTCAATCCACGAGATTTGATCAATGGGCAGAGCACTTAAGAGATCAGTTCGATTGGCCTTCAGCCACACTTCGCTTGCCCACTATCTCCAGTCATCCTGAACGGCAAATCGACGTAAGTCCTCCTAGTCTTTATGAAGTTGAGAAAGCGATAGGAAATCTGAAGTAAGTTAGAGCAGCCGGTCCTTATATACTGACTGACGAAATCTGAGCACGGATACAGAAGGCTCAATCGGCTTTTACCAACCTGCGTCACAAATGGTGTAGACACGATATCCGTTTGCTGAATAAAGGACGAGTGGATACGAAACACGGCCAGTCAGAGTAGAAGGTATTCGTAAACTACTGGTTTTCTGTCATATGTGTCTCCGAAGCATTGTTCGTGTATCACGAGCAAGCCTAGTAAGCAGTGCTGTCATTAGGAAACGAGTACCAGGTAAGGATGGCAGATTAGTAGATGAAGTATTGGCCTAAGGTTGGTGGCACCATTTCACAGAAAACTAACTCGATGAATAAACCAACCAGAAAAGATAATTCAAACCATTTTAACTCTGTATTGGGAGTCAGAAGTTCTCCATTCAGAAGAGTTATTACGTCTCATGATGAAAGCCGAGTTCCTTCGAAATTCACGAGATGGATTGTTTGAACGATGTTGGAGACCGGTAGACTGATCCAAATTCCTGCAGAGATGGAAAAATGTAACCTGAAGACGCTTGGAATCAGTTAAACGCATTAGACGTGGGTCGGACAACTAAGACTAGCTTCTGTAGAGCTTCATTCATAAAGAAGAAAATGCCTCACACACAAGGAGTTGCACTGATAATGTCCAAACTACCACAAAAGGCACTGATAAGATAGGAATCTCATGGACCGAGGTACATCAAGTCATCCTTCGAAACAAAGAAAAAGGGCATTCGGTGAAAGTCATCCAAAGCTATGCACCTACGAACGACTACGATGAGGATGTTAAGAATCAGTTCTACGATAAGGACCATGGAGGACATCACAGCCAAGAGAGCAGCCTCAGATAACCACTAGCTAGTTGCCAAAATAAAACTGAAACTCAAGAGGCACTGGAGACGAGGTGGAAAACATCATAAAAGTTTATTACGGCCATTATCTGAGACAGTGGCAAATTCAATGAACTCAGCAGTAGGTTCTGGGACTTTCACTATCGACACAATGGAGAACTATTGGAAACAGATAAAGGAGGCGATCACTTCGACATGAACGGGGGTTCTGCGCCACGAGAAGCACCACTATGTGGAATGGATAACTGTTGATACACCGGATATGATTCAAGAAAAGAGGAACATGAAGGCAGCAATCAACATCAGCCGAACAAGAACAAAGAAGGCAAAGGCACATACTGAATACACAGAAGCAGAGAAGCAAGTGCAGAGGAGTATCAGAGCTGAAAGCCGTAAATATATGGAAGATCTAGCAATGATGGTGGGAAAAGCTGAAAGAGAAGGAAACACGAGACAATTGCACGGTACAACAAAGAAGCTTGCTAGAAATTATCGTAAACCAGAATGACCAGTCACTCAGTTACAACGTAGAACTTCGTATGTACGTACATCAGTTCAGGTTGCCATACCACATAAGCACAGTAACAAAATTGTTAATTCAAATCTTAATGTGGTAGAGATAATAGAAGTATTATTGGTAATGAAGAAGATTGGGGTTTAAAGACATTATTCAAGAAGTAGAATCTAATGAGATAAGTTTATAAAGACAAAGGCGAAGATTTCGCCGGTCGTCGGACCATCAGCACTGATGAGACTCCCGAGATAAGGGAAGCGGTCAACACGCTCAACTAATTCATACACTATCACTAGTTCAGGTACCGATGCAAGCCAGTCCTGAGGCAACACTTTGCACTTCGAGGAGGAGAATCGCATCCCGCACATACTTGCATTGTTACTTAGGATAGACAGAAGACTGCATTTTGTCAGCGTCTTCACCGATTGGGACTATGCGCCCAACTTTTTGGAGGAGCTTTCTGTAAACTCATCCTTAACTTCGTCGGACAGCGAACAAGCGACTATCTACTGGGATTCAGTCTCAGAGCTAAATCTGCCCTACAACTCAATGCTACACCTACGCCAGCGAGACCTCGAGAAGTAGCATCAGGGCTTCCAGATACACGAAGAGTAAATCGAGTTGCTTCGTTATTTTGATAAGGTGAAATCAAATTAACGAATTTACTACGATAATGTATGCACGTTTCCGAGACGCAGCATACATCGATCACGCGAGATTCTCAAGTCCTAGCTAAGGACGCCTGTTGCACTATTTGACACAATGTCCGGACATTAAATGCTCCAACATGTAATTTACACAAATGTTTCAGGAGACCATGATTAACGTTTCGTGAACTCACATCGTCTGCATTAGCGGTACGGAGTGGTAAAGGAGTGTGAGAAGAGTTAGTCGTGGAGATAAGAGCGATGTTAGGGGGTGTAGGAAGGATTTAATTTTGGCCAATTCGGTCTCACGTGCTGTTTCGGGTATGAGGGCAGATGTCACTTCACGGTTGCCCACACCGTGGAAGGGTGTTTCTTGAGGAACCTGAAAAGGAAGGTAGATTATTGTTGGACTTAACGACCTGGGAGCGTAACCGCAGAGCCCAAAGGAAAACTGAGTCAGGCCGGTCACGCATGGCCCTTTTATGAGAGGTTTTTAGAGTATTGGCTCCGTTCTTTTTAAGAGCCTTTACCGCCGAAGACGGGAGTCCGTGAGGTAAGATGACATTTTTAGGGTCGTCATTTTCTAACCCATCCTTCCTTGTGAGAAGGCAGTATTGCTGCAGATGCTGGTTGTCCGAGGGAAACACCTTATTGCTGTCACACCTCTCGGCAATCAACAGTATAACTTCGCCCTCTGACCTTGAGTAGCTGTTTTTAGTCTGATCGTTCTCCGATCGACCTGCCTGGAATGGTTGGACCTTCAGGAACATATGTTCCAGCCAATATAGCTCGATTGGGTCATCTCGATAGGCAAGGGCGACCACCATTTCGAGGTAGCTGCTGCAGTCGAGGATAGCACAAAACTACTGATGTTCCTAAACACCACTTTGTGCCTAGGAAGTTAGTCAATATCTTGCCTAGTGCTCTTGATGGATAAAACTGCAAATTCATGCATGGAGGACAGCTCACAGACTCGTTCGTAGTAAAGTCTGGTGTCAGGTAAGTTTACTCGCTCCCACCCTTTCTCTGTCTCCTGGTGATCGGCTGAATTGTGAAGACGTCAACATCTGGAGGAAAGCGTGGGATACAATGGACAGCCAGGATGCAGCTGGACACAAAAATCAGAATTTTCATACAAATGTCAAGACAGTTCTACTGTATAGGGTGAAAACTTGGAAAACTGCCAAGGCCATCAGCCAGAAGATACAAGTGTTTATTAATAGTTGTGTTCGTAGGATACCGCAGATCCGCTGGCCGAATACCATCAGCAACAACGTACTGTGGAATAGAATGAACCAGAATCCAGGGGAGGAAGAAACGCTGGAATTTGATATGATATACATTGAGGAAACTACCCAACTGCGTCACAAGACAGACCCTCACATGGAACCCTCAATGTCAAGGGAAAAAATGAAGACCAACGAATATATTACTCCGAAAAATAGGGACGGACATAAGAAGAATGAACAAAACTTAAACAGAACTGGGAAGGGAAGCCCAGGACAGAGGAGTATACAGAAAACCGGTCGGCGGCCTTCGCTTCATTTGGGATAACCGGCGTCAGTATGTCAGCAAGTAATGTAATTTTTTTTCCTACCTACTAGTAATCAATCAAACCATCCTTAATAAATAAGTTTGTTTGCACACATTTCGACTCACTGGTTTTCCTTTCTCTGTACATTCAATACCAAACATTCGACGTATCCTGTTTCCTACTTTAAGAGTAAAAGTAAGTGGTAATCGGAGCGTTGCCCTGAAGTTAAATCTGAAGTGAGGTTCCACATCCGATTTTTTGGTGCAATTATAGTGTCTTGATGAGTGAAAGATATGTGGAAGAATACTGCTGATTATCTGGTGTTTACCAAATGGAATTTTGTACATTTCGGTTAGCAAATTACATTTTTGTAAAAATCTTTTATTTTATCCGACCTTAACTTAGGCGTTCATTTTCGTACAGCATCAGCTCTACCTAACGTAGTACCAATTAATCTAGCTTATATAATCCGAAAAGTCCTTCGGTATTTGATAAGATTCTAGTCATATAAGTACTTCATATTTGATGTGCGTTCATCTGTCAAATATATACATTAGAAAAACGAACACAACAGCCCGATCGGAAGCTTGAGAATAGAATGAGTCTATCAGCTGCTAATATCGAAACAATGCTTTAAAATTAGTCTTTATCAATGGCAGATTTTTCCGGTAGCTAATGAACTACCAACTTGTAAGTAAAAAGTCCACTCAAAATGTATCAGAGATCAGTAGTTCGAATGTTGATGAGAACAGTTCACAACAAAGTGGATTGGTTTATTTAGTGGCTAGTAGACATCAATGAAGTTATAAAAATATATTTCATCAGTTTTGTCTTAAAAGCATCAATCAAAATCAGTGAAGCGAATGAGTTAATGGATGAATTTGTAAGCTTTCTTTAACCGAAGTATTTTCAAAATATCATACCTATCCACCCACCATTTGCCTCAAAATATGAATCTGACTAGATTAAAAATATAATCTGAGCAACCGAATAAAATAAGATAAATGATATGGTCTACAGAACCATTGAAGATCAAGGAGTACTGGACCTAACGTCAAAGAGATTATTAAATGTGAAATAATCCTCAGCGATTGGATGGAATAATATTGAAAACTATCCACAAACTGAAAATATGTAAATTATATGAAAATCGTTTACTTGAGAATTCTGATAAGCTGCTAACTACATTTTCACAGGTCATTTCATCGAACCAGATTCAAACCCTTTTAATTAACCGATAACATAAGTGTTTCACGACGAAATCTGATCAAATGAGTATTTAATCATACAATTAAAGAACATTCGAATCAATAATTATCTTAACAAATAATTGATCTATGATGTTTTCGGAATTATAAGCTTTCTGTTAGCTGACTCGCTCATTTTAAAAACAAGCACAATGTTCTGACTCTTTAGAGTTCTATCTATCCTGTAGTTAGTAGTTAAGGTGTTCAACTCTCAATCACTAAGTCTTATCTTCGAATAATATTCCACCTAATTCTGTTTGAACGACCGGGTAGTATCACTAGTTCGCACACATGAAATGTGTCAGAAAGTCAAGTATACGACTATGAGTTAACAAAAAAGGGTACATAGAGGCCGGAATACATCATAGTTAACGTTGTTGAGATAGTGCAAAATAAACTAATTATGATTGTCTGACAAACCGTTTTTAACCACAAAACTCTTGATTCCAAATATTCAACCTGATATTAAGAATATTGAAGCCTAGTTATCAGGTAAATGATGAAACTAATTTGTTAGTGTAACAAATGATTTCTTATCACTGTCCATGTGTCAGACGAGTAACAAACTTACTTTTTGTCCTGAAAATGTTATTAGTTTTCTTAATATTACAATCTTCAAACAGTTAATATAGCCCTACGTAGTCAGAGTAATTTGAATGACTGTAATCAATTTTTGTGCGGAATACTACGTAATACAACCATCGTGTTCTATTCAAAAATCCTCATAAAGAAAATAAATTCCGGACGACATGAATTCTTTTTCATAAACATTTTAATGTAGTCAAATAGGAAGAATTTCGGAGTTTCAAATTTAACCATGCGGATCTGTGTGCTGTATTACCCAGGCTAGTTTCGCCAATCTCAATAATCAGCGTACGAATGATTTTATCAGTATAAGTGTTGTATTGATAATTGACTCAGTTGGCCAGATTTTACTTAAAATACATACGATATTAGAAATTTAAATAGTTGCTTAGTTTATGCACATAGATGTAGTTGATAATTGAAATGCCTTGTATGAATGATAGTTTATCGAATCAGATTTATGTATCTAATATAAATTATTTGAGCAGCGTAGTGGTTTATTAAAATAGGCTTTACCAAAAACAGCCATGTGAAACTGCGAGTAGCTGGCACCTACTACTGCTCCATTCAATTCTGTTTAGTCAAATGGTAAGTAACTTTATGCTGATAAACAAACAACTAACTAACTCTTTATCAGTAATTTATGCTAAATATTCGATATTTCGAGTTTTTAACTGAAAGTTAATTATCGTTTACTTACAGCCTCATATGAACCAATAATGTGTATGATACAACCAGTACACGAGTTTTAGAACATAACAATAATTTTATCCAATTTAAGATCAGACTTAGCAGTTTCATGCACGGATTACGTAGCTGTTTCAACTCAAAAATGTTTAATACAACATATCTTCAACTCCTTTCAAGACTAAAAACAAAAGCATCCTATTTCTTCATTGTAAGTAAAATATATGAGTTAGTAGATTGAAAGAGATGAACAGCTTTATTGTTTTAACAGAGTACAATTTATGTTATACAAAAGTTATCACTATATGTCATCAGACAGTGAATGTTTTACTTGTTTTTCCCATTAGACTCTGATGATAATGATCTGACAACAATGTATCTATAGATTCTATCGTAGGACTCAAACAGACATCGATACTATTCTAAATGGTCCGATTTTAAATAGTTCCGGTTTATGAACATACAGCGATAAATTGATGAGTATAATAAGAATATTAATAGGATTATGGTTTCATTAAAAATGGACAGTTATTAACAACGATAATAACACTAGCCGGCAAATGAAATGTAAACAATTCAGTATTCTTAAAATCAGCAATGTTATTTATTTCATAGATGACATTATGTACATATGCACAATATATATAAATCAACAGAACAAGTCCACAGAGAATATAAACTATACAAGTAATTATATCGACACAATTGTCAAAAAAACGTTAACGAAACAAGTATACAGCTAGTGCAGATTCATTTGATGCAATAAAACACAATTCAAGCGCGATGGTTTCAAACGATATTTAAATTTATTCACAGTAGACAGAAGGTGTGTAGTAATTGGGCGATTTTTCAGTCTAATAGAAATAAACCCCGAAAAGTAGTCTCATATACGCGGCGAATAGCATCTTTAAAATCGATGGTATAATGTAAAAGAAAAGCAATAAAATTAGACAAATATTTGGCAGTAAAAACAAATTTAACGGTAGTCATGAAATAATGTCTAGGAAATAAAGATAGGTAGGGAAAACAAGACCTAAATTTACGAAATCACGAAATGGTAATCCTTAAAATTACAAAAACAAATTCTTACAGACTTTAAGTAGTAACAATAAAGTTGATTGAAAACTGCTATATAGATTTAAATTTTAACACGTACAACTCATTAATTATGCTTTATACATTACTTTTGTAGAAGTTCTGCGTTTGCTTTGCCACTCCATTCCATACCTTTACATCAGCATCAGATCCACCGTGCTCATCAATGATGCTGCAGAGATATGTATAGGATTTTACATCTTCCAAGGCTTCTCCGTCAAGTGTGATTTGGTTGTTGCATGTTGTGTTGCATTGGATAATCCTGCTATTCCCATTATGTATGATAAAACCTGATGCTGCTACACTGGTCGTCTTCTCCTGCATTTGTTCTTGCGTGTACGATAAAAAAGCAAGATCGGTTGCGTAGTCCAGATCGTCCAACTACATCCCGGCTGTCCAATGTAAACCATGCTTCCCTCCAGATGTTGACGTCTTCACAATCCAGTCGATCATCAGGAGAAAGAGAAAGGGTGAGAGCGAGTAGTCTTACTTGACACCAGTCTTTACTTTAAACGAGTCTGTGAGCTGTCATCCATGAATGATTTTGCAGTTTAATCCATTATGAGCACTCGACATGATGTTGACTAAATTCTCGGGCATCCGTAGTGTGCAAAAATCATCCACAGTGTTGTCCTGTCAACACTCTCAAATGCATTCTCGTAGTTGAAGTTGATGCAGAATGGTGAGTTCCATTCATTCAGTTGATCATTCCTCAATGATCTGTTACGTTGCATTTTGGTTGGTACACGATCGATCCTCATAGAATCCAGCCTGTCGATCTCGAGGTTGGGCGTCTACGAAGTCCTTCAGTCTGTTTAACAACACTCTGTCGAAGACTTCGCCTGATTACAGAGAACAGTGGTGCCTGTGTAGTTCCCACACTTGCTGAGACCGCCTTTCTTTGGTATTTTGACCAGTTATCCGTCCTTCCAGTTTGTTGGTACTTGTTCTTCGTACCAAATCTCTCTGAAGAGAATGTGCAGCTTCTATGCAGTTGCTGATTTCATTGCCTCTGCTGGAATATTGTCTGATTTCGCTGCTTTACCGCTCTTGATTTGTCTGATAGCCATACTGATCCCTTCAACTGATGGTTGGTTAACGTCAATTGATAGGTCTGTAGGTGCTGCTTCGATGCTGGGTTGGTTGAGTGGAGCTAGTCTATTCAAGAGTTATTCAAAGTGCCCTATACACCTGTTTTGCTGTTCGTCAATGTTGCTGACTACTTTGCCTTCCTTACTTTTCACTGGTCATTCTGGTTTACGATCATTTCTAGCAAGCTTCTTTGTTACATCATGCGATTGTCTCGTGTTTTGTTCTCTTGCAGCTTTTTCCACCGTCATTGCTAGATCTTCCATATATTTACGTTTCTCGGCTCTGATACTCCTCTGCACTTGCTTCTCTGCTTCTGTGTATTCAGTATGTGCCTTGGACTTCTCTGTTCTTGTTCGGCTGATGTTGATTGCTGCCTTCATGTTCCTCTTTTCTTGAATCATATCCGGTGTATCAACAGTGATCCATTCCATGTGATGGTGCTTTTTTTTTTTTCATTGACATTTTTTTCATTTCATTGACCTATTCTCAATAAGTGAATAACGTCACGTTATAAATCGAAAAGTTAGTGCCTATCGTACTAAACAATGACGTGAAAATGTATGCATCTCAGTACTACCAAAGTCACTTGTTTCAAATTTTAATCAATGACGCTGCATTTAATACTTACCCTCCAACTTTTGAAAACTCTCTTGCCTAATTGGTAGTACCGTGTACATCTCACGCCCATTAGATCGCCTACAAACAATCCAATGATTTGAATCTAGCCTAACAGTGATTTCTTCATGCCATGAATTAGGTCTGTCAAAACATTTTAAGATTAAGCAAATAATAAGCAATGCAATTACACAAGAAATTTAACAAAGAAGCTAGCTAAACTTTTTTGAAAAGCAAAAATAAAACTATTGAATCCGGAGTTCAAATGCTAAGTACTCGATTTATCGTTGGTACAAGATTGCTGTTTAGCTCATTTAAAACCACCAGGGAAGCTCTACAACTGAACTATCCAGGTTAGCGAACTCAACAGTACCAAAAACAATGATACACATAACATGAGCTAAAATTAGCATCAGGAAAGATTTGGCAAACTTATTACCTCAAAACAATTCCTATATAAAGTGATCCAAATATTTTAAAAAGGTACAGTAATCACGTTTAGCCCTAATGAGCCAAACATGGTCCTTTATGAGCTGATAAATCTACACGAAAATAACTTAAACATCTAGTAAATGATTGTGTTTTCGTTGTCTATATCTGCGGAAAACGTTCGCTATTCATCTAAGGTAAGTAACGACATAGAAGCAATTTAGCTTGTAAATATATGTAAAGTTTTTGACGGTAATACATCTCTATCATCAACGTTACAAACAATAGTTTTTTATTTTAAACAAAACAGGAAACTTTCTAAAAATCTAAGAATAGATTTGCATGAGGAATTCATAAATACACATGTATTCTCTGCTGTGAATAGCCTTTAAAAAAAAGTGGTTGTTTTTCTTTTACAAATACTTAAATATTTACCTGAGTGAAAATTCCTCACGTAAATTCACCATAGCATCTAGAAATGATTTCGCTCCCTTAACAGGTCGTTTACCAGACCCAGTGTAAAAGTGCAAAGTTGACATGACAGAACAAGTTGATGGATTCCAATAAATGAAACGATTTGAGTAGACAGATGATAACGGTGAATCGATATAATTCATATCTTCAATCGCATTACTTATTCCCTCTTCATTGATTGCAAGATTTCCAAGTGCTGGTAGATCATGTGAAGTATTTTCTGGTGTACTTTCCATCAGGTGTAAGGGAAAGATACTTAAACAAAATAAATCAATGAGCCATGTATCATGTTTGTGAATTACATAAAACAATCCACTAACGTGAAATTTAAAAAATCACTGAGCGATACTACTGCTTTATACAAAGCTATTTACTACAGATTAGAAAGGAATACGACGTTACTAATCGGGAAGCAATCTAGAGTTTAGCAGTACTTTCCCGTAGCGATATTATTTTGATCAACGAGAATATAGAACCTTCACCTTACAGCTAGATGTCAGTTGGCAACAAGAACTGGACCAGATGAAATTAGGATTATCTGGACTAAAACGTTTCTGAACAGACAGTTAGGATAATTAATTACCTTACTTCATTTCCAATTGTGAAAATCACATTATTACAAGCCTTCTGTTTTATATTATCAATAACTTTTTTCTTCAATACCCTTATTTGTCCTGTAATATTGCCATATCATTATCTTCATTTCATAAAAGCCCTTTATAAACTTATTGTTTTTTGCGCTTCGGCTAATTATAGAAAAGTCGGATCGATAAATTCATGATCCATACCATAACACTATTATTAGCAGATACCTATTTGCCTGTTTAATACCGTTTGCCAGAAATCCTCTGCAAAGTCACTCGATTGAATCGGTTACAACTACACATCTGATTTAATGCATTGATTCATTACATGCATAAATAAACTATATGAACAGAAAATACACGTCTAGATATTGATAAACATTTGCAATTTGATATTTAAAGGGATGAGATATTTTTTATGAAATAACGTGTTAGTTTTAGTGATCATGATAAAATATCGATGTGGCATCTTACATTTTTATGTAGTTGAATGCTTAAATTAGGATGGTGCTTTAAAAGAGCATGATCACAAATATGAAATGTAGGAAAATGAAAACATGTAACAAACTGTTAGAATAAAATAAAACTAGGATACAAAAAAGTCCTTTAAACTGACTGAAGAAGACGCAACTACGACCATCTATATGCTCATAAGATTTTGACACATTAAACTATAGTTTTGAATACTACTTATAAGTACAGGAAAGTGTGAAAGTTGGTGTTAGGATTATTTCAGTCAGTCAATTACAACGTGGAACTTCGTACGTACGTACACACATCAGTTCAAGATGTCATACCACATTAGCATAGTGATATAATTGTCAATTCAAATCCCATAGTAGTAGAGGTAGTAAGGCATTAGCAGTAATCGGAGAGATTGGGGTTCGAAGATATTATTTAACAAATAAAATCTAGTGAAATAAACTTAAAGAGAAAAAGGTGTAGGTGATGAGGTATTCAGGTAACGATTCGAGAGAACACAGAATGAATGTATCTGCGCCTAACTCGACCTGTAGTGTTTGAGTAGACAGCTTTTATAAGGTTAATGTACTTCTCTGGTACATCTTTTAATGACAGACACCGTCACGGAACCTCACAATCCACAGAGTCAAATCCCGCCTTAAGGTCAGGGAAGACAACTATTTTACGACATCTGAATGTATGTCTGTGTTCCAGGACATATCGTAGTATGAAAATGTGGTCTATACAGCCACGTCCAGGTCGATAACCAGCCTGATTTTCTCTATTCTGTACTTCACGTGCTCAAGTTAAGCGTCTAAGGATAATTGAGGCTAACAATTCAGAAACTACATCAGTTAGACTGATTCCATGTGACTGTCACCAGAAGACTTTTCGTCCATTCCTATAGATTGGGACAATCAGGGATTGAGACCAATCGGATGGGTTTACGTCCAGTTCCCAGATTCTACCTAAGATCTCAGTCAATCTAACTCCTAAAACTGGACCATCATCCTTAAAAGTCTCAGAGGGTAGGCTATCAGGACCCACCGCTCTCTCTTTAGACTCTCCATAGCTTTTACGACTTCATAAAGATTCGGAGGGCTTGCCATTTAGGATGACTGGAGATCGTGGGTGACCGCAGTGTTGCTTAAGGCCTGTCGAACTGATTCCTGAAGTGTTCTGCCCATCGATCCAATCTCCTGGATTGAGAATGAATAATAAGACCATCCTTTGCTGAGACAGTCTCACTTACATTCGGATTTCTAATACCGGTCTGCTTGATGAGTCTGAATAGTTGTCTACTGATGCCTATCGCCGCTGTCTTTTCCATCTTCCTTGATTTTGCTACCCACCACTGTTCGCACTCAGAGCCAGACGGGATGAGTTTTTGAATACCTTCAGTTCGATAGTTGCTACCTACCTGAACATTAAAGTCACAAGCCACTTTTGCTATATATCAGAGCGCCCAACGTTTTGGATAGGTTCTAAAAGTTCTCCAAAAAACACATCTTTCACCACGTCTGAACTGCAGTCAGTGGTAGTGTATGCAAAGACAGCGAAGAGGTAACCACGAGTGTCCCTATCCTTACGAGAAACTATCTTCTGGTATCCAGTCTAGGAAAGCTAGTACTACCCTACAACTAAATGCTATACCTACACGAACTAGGCCACGAGAAGCGGAAGCAGGACTTCCAGATACACGAAGCGTAAACCGTGTTGGTTCACTATCTTTACAATGTGAAATCGAATTGACTATTTTACTCGGATCTTGTGTGAGCGTTTCGGAGAGGCAACACGAATTGATTGCACGGGATTTCAGAGTCCTAGCTAACGAAGCCTGTTGCCCTATTTGGCACAAGGTTCGAAAATTAATGGCTCCAATATGTAATTTAGTACGGGGTTTCAGGAGAGCAGGAACGTTTCATGAGCTCGGATCGTCTGCTTGAGCGGCGCGAGGTGACAGAGGAATGGACCAAGGGTTGGTCGTGCAGAGAAGAGAGTTATTAGGAGGTGTAGAAGGGATTTGGTTGTGATCGAGTTTGTCTCGTGTGCTTTTATGGGTATGAGGGCGGATGTTACTTCCTGGCTGCGTGCACCGTGAAAGGGTTCTGATTATTAGAAGGGGCATCGGCCTTCAGAAGAAACTCGGCTTACATCATGAGACGTCATAACTCATATAGATGAAGACCTTCTAACTCCCAGGGCAGAGTTTATATGGTTTGATTTATTTTTTCTTGTTAGCCTAACCTTCCTCCTTGGGGTTGGCAACCCCATCTCCTTGAAAACTGACTCGCTAAAGAAACGTTATTTCAGGAAATATGCATGTATCGACTAAGGGAGTGAGGGCTGGCGGAAGTTATAACAGTTGCCATCCTCAGGATTGATGACATTTAGATGCAACACTGTGTCCGTTATTTTGAGATTCGGTATGCGTTTTTGGGAGTAGTGACGATATCTCATTTAGTGTAATACTTTATTCATCAACTTTTTGTGTGGCGAGTACTTATTTTGGCGTTGATTTGTACCAATATTTATGTTTTAAACAAATAACTAATAAAAAATCCTGTTGATAACACTTTAAGATAATTTACAATACCACCCCAAAATAATCACATTTATATCTAACTCACCTACCATCCATAAATGAACAAGTCTGATTTGAAGCTAGACGTTCAGCTAATAAAGTTAAACGTGGACCAACCATTCTATCGAATTCCACAAAAAACTCCATTGGAATAGGATCAGTACCTGAAGCATATAATTATTTATCAAATAAAAATATTGAGTATCGAACAAATGAATAGAAAAACACTAAGTACATAAGGAGAAAACATTAGAAAACTATTCTGACATATATATATATATATATATATATATATACATTCGGGATTATGAAGAACAATCTAGTCAATATATAAAATTAGACAACCAGAATGTTTTATTTTTCCAAGTAACCAACAGATGACGATGAATGTATTTATTAAAGTATGGTATTAAGTCAATTAACATTGGATTGATGATTAAGGGAAAAATCCTTTTCAATCATCGTTAAACAAGAAAAAATTATGGAATTAATATTAAATAAGATTAATTTTCAAGTATTTCTTGTTTACATTTTTTTTAACATACACGATATCGACAACTTTTAAAATAATCAGGGAAGAGTTCAATTTATCCTAAGATAAAGTTTTAAAACTCACTGACTTTGGACAATTGTGTATTGTATGAACTTAACTTCATCTTATAGTTTGGAATTATTTTTATGGTACATTTATAGAAATGGAAGACCTGTAAGTTATACATCTTTGGTAAAAATATATTTGATAGAAATGTTGGATGATTTTGGTTAGAACTGTCAGATGTTCAGCCTTTCTCGGTAATATGCATTAATTTACTAAATGCTCTATAGGCGAATTAGATTATAGTTTAGACAGATTAAAAATTCGATTGTACATTGTACAAAAGACATCACTGACAGAATCGTCTTAGTTTGAAATCTTTCAGGAATATTAGCAGATAAAGTACCAAACTAGTTTTTAGAAAAATACTAGTTTGAAGATGAATGTACTTTAATTCAAATGAGATAAAATGATTTATGAGATAGGCAACCTAATTACCATGGCAAATTGTTGTTAGTTCAGTTTTAAATGAACGTTTTTGAGAAAGATACTATTGTGTGAAAGTTAATTTGCAGACTGTAAAAAAATCCGTCGATATACGTTCGTAAGAAATTCAAAACGTATTGCCGGGATCTAGATCTTAAAATGCTAACAGTACAATGACTCAAGCTAAAAACAATAAAAACTTTACTGAAACTAAATAGTTTTCACCAAATACACGATAAAAGTAACCGGACGGATGAATATAAAATGCTTTCCAACCATGCTGTTTAGGGTCTCTCTCTATCGAATACTGTTTTCTCGCAGACCCAACGCCGACTGATCTAAATTTACTTCGTTTAGATCGGTTCGATCAGCTAAAATTAGTTGATGTCCCTTTTAAAATACTATATGCCACCTGGTATCACAACCACATGACCCCGAAGCATATACGAGGAAGCTAATGACGCAGTTTCCGACTATTTTTCAACCTGGTTTGGATCGGTGCTCTGCCATGAAAGCAACGCTGCGGTTGAAACCTGGGGCTAAGCCTGTTTTCCGTCCAAAGAGACCAGTACCTTACGCAACATTACCAACAGCAGATGAAGGA